GATAAGAGGAGCCGCCCCTACCGGTAGTAACTGTCCCTGGGGACTCCATCTATATTGGTGGGGACCAGCACCTGCTGGAAACCGGGTCCAGCCAGCGCTTACCCCGACTTTGGGCCTCGCTGCACCACTCTCGACATGCACAAAAAAAGCATGGCGGTGCATCTTTCCATATTCTAGCGGAAGAATCACTCTCGTTTTGCACATTTCGAGAGTAGTGCAGCGACGCCCTTTCCCAGATTTTACCAGACGGTAGGCACTTGGGATACAAACGCACAGGCGTTCAACTCGAATTTGAATACAACGGGTATGCGTTCTAAATGCATATATATGCGTTGAGTTGTCAACGAATAGAACGCGTAGGTTGCGTTCTATTCGAATACAAACCACATAAGTTCAATTAGAACAGCCCTCAAAAAAAAAAAATCGAACATAAGTTCAATTAGAACAGCCCTTAAAAAAAAAAAATTCGAATACAACCTAGGCTACCAGAGTGGCCCGGGGTCACTTGCCTGGCCGGGCCAAAAATAAATAAAAAAAATGAAAATAAAAATAAAAATAAAATAAAATTGAATTTTTATTCTAAATTTGGTGAAGAATTTCGATGTGACCCTGAGGCAGTTGTTTTCTTGCTTTCTTCCTTTTTGGGACTCAACGATTCCTGATATGGGCTTGGCCGGTAATGCCTCGCTCATAACCGGGAGCCGCCAGCATACATGTGAGGACTTACCTCAGTGGTTTACTAGCTACGTGATGCCTAGATAGAAGTTACATTTGCTACTATTTAAGAGAGAGGGCTTTTCCTTTCTCCTACCTCGGATACTTACCCCTCCTGATGAGGCTAGAACTGGCTCTAGCCGAAACCGGTCGAGGGAAGCCAGACAGCCATCACCAGGGTTAGCCTGGCTATGGCTTCCTCTTGAGCTTTGTTGCAGATCTTTCGAAGAGATACTCTTGGTGTTGCAGAAGAGTAACTTCTGAGTAATTTCCGAGTTTTCACATATTCTGGCGGGTTGTATTTTTTAGCAACTTGCTTATGGTTCGCGTGCCGCTGATCTCAGTCGACGCTGTGATTAGCCTTCGCTCTTTCCAATCCAATCCAATACATGTGAGGGACGCCGGGCCCGTTTCCCGGCTTGTATAATATGACTCTTCTCTTCTCTTAAAAAAAAAAAAAAAAAAAAAAGTTGTTCAGTTTATTTTTCTGCATAACATAGTTCTTTTTCGGATTTTTTGGATTTTTATTTTTTTTTATGGCTGGGACCTTCCCTGGCTGGCCACCCGGGACCAGAGCGGCCCGGCTGGTAGCCTAAAATACAACGCACATGCGTTCAACTCGAACAGCCCTGAAATTCGAATACAGCCCTCAAGAAATTCGAATACAACGCCTGCGCGTTCTATTCGAATCGTCCCCACTTCCTTTTCGAAACCACCACGACGAATACGCGTTATGTTCGGGGGAAGGAAGACGGATAGAGAGTGACATCATGATTTCTATACCATCCCCTCTTTTGTTCTCTTCTGTTCTCTTCTGTTCTCTTCTTCTCTGTTCTTCTCTGCTCTGTTCTCTGTTCTCTGTTCTTTTCTGTTCTGCGGCCTCTCTCTTGCCCACTCTGCACACTCCTGCCATAAGTTCTGTGGCCTCTGTCTTCTGTTCTGTGTCTGCGGCCACTATTTTCCCCACTCTGCACACTCCTGCCATGTCTACTCCAGGTGTATTTTTTTCTTGGTTGGAGAACGTTACCTTCTTCCCCCGAATACAACGTACGGTCTTTATAGCTGTATTTAGACTGAAAGATACTCCAAATACCGCTATAATGACCGTACGTTGTATTCGGGGGAAGAAGGTCAGTTAGCCCCCAAAGTTACCAATCATAGGGTTCGAACTCATGACCTGTTTATCACCCAACAGCCGCTGGCTCGCAAAATGCACCCATGCAGCCAGCCACGAGGCCAACAACGCTCGGGTAAAAGAGAGGTTTGGACTGACAATGAGAAGAGAAAGGCGTCCCCGTAAAGAACCGTGAGCTGTAAACACTGAGGTAGGATTGTGGGAGTAGGGGTGCGCAAGGGAGAAAATGACGCGCGCGGGCGGGAGGGCGGGAGGGCGGGAGGGAGGGAGGGAGGGAGTCTCATACGGAATAGGGACCTCTACAGACCATCTGCATAACCCAAAAACATGGCCGACAACCGGGGGTGGCTGTCAAATGTCTAGCATCCAACCTCTACCACAACCTGGAGTTCAGAATTTGTGGGGGGAAAAAAAAAAAAAAAAAAAAAAGCCAGTTTCTTGCTTCGTGCGTGCCATCCTTGCGCCGACAGCATGGCCCTAGCCACACCGCAAACGACACGAAGAAAAAACGAGTGCATTTGCCAGCAGAAGGTGGCCAGATACAATCTCTTTTTTTTTCCTCGTTTCGTCTGCTGTGTGGTGGACACCGCATGCTAATCATCCCTTTTACGGCGACGGCATTGAACTAACATTATCGAACTGACCCCCCTCCCCCCTCTCCCTCCCCCGCTAATTCAGAATGTACGGTATTTTCTTCATATGCTTCCATTACCAGGATTCGAACGTAGGTCTGTTTATCAACAGCTACATGGAAGGGGTGTATCATTCAAAAAATTTTGAGTTAAAAAAAAAAAAAAAAAAAAAAAAAAAAACCTGAAGCATTCATTCAGCCACATGGTAGGTCACCGTTTTTTTTTTTTTTTTTTTAACTAACGTTTTACTACCAACCTAACACTACTAAGGTACTCTTAAAAGATGGAAAAAAAAAGTTCCATTTATTTTTTCACCCGTTTGTCGGCATTTTCGCTAAAATTTACGAGAGCCGCCAGCGGCAGCGTGAAAACGGGAAACCGGGAGAGCGGCAAAGCGGCGAGTGATTAAAAATAATAATAATAATAATAATAAATAATAATAATAATAATAATAATAATAATAATAATAATAAAAATTGAGAGGGGGGTGAGGGAGAGGGAGGGGTTAGAGCCCCTAACTTTAGTGAGGCTATCCACATAATCCAAGCCGGATTAGCGGCGAGTGAGGCTATCCACATAATCCAAGCCGGATTTGAACTACTGTAATTACGAAGTTAACTTCTTCTTTTTTTTCTTTTTTTTGACAGTTACATGTGCGTATCCCATGAACTCGAATGGGTGGGGAAAAAAAAAAAAAAGCCGGATCCGGAACCGGGGCTGCTGTTCTTGTAAGAAACGCCGGGCCCGCTTCCCAGTTTCGTATAAATAACAAAACATCAAAAAAAAAAAAAAAAAAAAAGAGAATGTCGGATGCAGAACACGTTTTCGCCGCACGCTGACCGTCAGAACCGATCACAGTCAAACCGATTTATTACCCAAAAAAAAACAAAAAGCGGATCATCGAATCTAGGCAGCCAACTCTCACCTCGTCCCTCCCAGAGCCACGGGCCTCAAATCTTCTTCTAATTTCTGCTTTCTTTTTTATAAGTCCCAAAACCAGCTAGCCAAAATGCAAAAGTGGACCCTCCAGCGAGAGAGGAGGTAACCTCCCTTCACCACGAGAGGTAGATAGCTATGCTTGCAGGGGTCCCCTGTACAGCCTTAGGAGTAGTGGTAGGTAGGTCCTGAAAGATGAGAAAGAATTTGAGAGAAAGAGTATTATAGTGTACTTTTCGAACATATAAAAAATGTGGTAGGTAAAAAAAAAAAAAAAAAAAAAAAAAAACTCTGCTGCGGTCAGCCGAAAGCAAAAACAACCCTTAAAGGAGAAGGACACAGGAAATTCCGCTTCTTCCCCCCCTCTCCCTCCTCCCCCCCCCCTTCACATAGGGATATTCAACCATGAAACGAAAACGTCCTCCTCTTCGGATATAACTCTCCAGTGATGTCGGGAAGGGATCGAACCCCGATGGGCTGACCATCAATCACACACAGCTCCGATTCGGGACAAGAATCAGTGGTAGAAGGATCTGAAGAGCGCGGGAGAGAGGGGGAGAGAGGGGAAGAGAAGGGGACAGAAATGGATGGACAAGGCAGCAAACAGGCGGGAAAAGGAGCAGACAAGTCTGTGTGTGTGTGTCTGTGTGTGTCTGTGTGTCTGTGTGTGTCTGTGTGTGTCTATGTGTGTCTATGTGTGTGTGTGTGTCCGTGTGTCTCCGTGTGTGTCCGTGTGTGTCCGTGTGTCTGTGTGTGTCTGTGTGTGTCTGTGTGTGTCGGTGTGTGTGTGTGTCCGTGTGTGTCTGTCTGTGTCTGTGTCTGTGTGTCTGTGTGTCTGTGTCTCTGTGTGTCTGTGTCTCTGTGTGTGCGTGTGTGGGTTTCTTTGTGTGCGTAATGTGAGGGGGTGTGTGTGTGTAATGTGTGTGTGTGTGTGTGTGCGTGTGTGTGTGAGAGAGAGAGAGAGAGGACGTAAGAAGGGACTGGGACATTTGAGGAAAGAAGAAAGGACGAAGTGCAAGGGAGCACATAAGGTCAACAGAGAATAAATAAATAACCCGGGACATTTGAGGAAAGAAGAAAGGAGGAAGTGCAAGGGAGCGCATAAGGCCAACAGAAAATAAATAAATAACCCTTCCGACACCCGTGAAATGACAATGAGAGGAAGACAAATTAAAAAAGAATAAATAAATAAATAAACAAAACAAGAAAACAAGAAAGATCTGGATTCATAATGACATCGACGAGGACGGGGGAAGAAGAAAAAGTTTAGGAAGAAGAAAAAGAAGACGAGAAGGGAAAAGGAGAAGAGAGGAGAGCCGTAGTTGAGGAGGACGGGGAGGGAGGGAGGGAGGCTGGGGAGGAGACCAAGAGGAGGCGGAGGTACAACGGCCGCATACGAACCTGCGAGAGTGCGGAGTTGCGATCCAGCTTGACGGCACCATATCCAGCAAGAAAGGATCCACGTGGCACGTTGTCAATGCACCGTCTAGCCGCACCGTCAATCCTGCTGGCATTTCTCCATCGCGCACGCATGACCAGCATTGAAGAAGATGAAGAAGAAGAAGAAGAAGAAGAAGCAGGTCGCAGCCCATCACCAGAACGAGAAGAAGCGGCCCTCCATTCTCTAGCTCCAGCGCTTCCCCCGCCTGCTCTTTCCCCCACGCTTCCGCCTGCCGTCCTATCAGTCCGCCCGCCCAAGTCGTGCGCGTGCGACAGCGCACGACATGCGGAGGAGGAGGAGGAGGAGCACGCCGCCATAGCCACAGCCATAACTTGCCACGTGGACGAAGCTCGTACAACCGCACACGAAGCAACTTCCGTACACGGCATGCACCAAAAAGGTTGATGGCGATGGTGGTGGCGGCGCAGCGCGGCGCGAAAAGTACCACGACGCGGCTCACTTGTAAACTCCCCCTCCTCCCACTCCCACCATCTACTTCGCTACTACGCCCTTCTCTCTAACTGTTCATTCATTATTATGTATATGCATGCCAACGACTCTGTGCTACTGGTACGCCAGGTACGGTACTCGCTCCGCAAGGACCATGTGGCTAATACCGGTAGTCCCTCTCCATAGACCACAAAGTGCAGACAAGCGGTCGCGATACCCTTCGGGAGGTTGGCCTACCAAGGGCTTCGTAAAAAAAATTGACCAACGGTCTTATCTCCGTTGATACGCCCATGAATGAATTGCTGAAGTGAACACGGGGGAAACGGGCCTCGCGTCCCTCAGAATTGTTGCAAGCATTTGGGCCAACTCATGCATGAACAATTCCACCGAGGTAAATACCAACTTCGGGCCGTTTGTTTTCTCGTCGCTCGCACATGTTCTACTT